CTCTCTTCCTCAAGCAACACCCTACTCTGTGCTCCAATTCAGCTTCACACTCTGAATGCATCTTCATTTTCAGGGTCAAAACGCAAAGAATACTCATGTTAACATTCAGGCACCAAGGCAGGAGCATTAAAACAAGTGAGACATCAAATTCATAGGTTAGAGTCAGGCTAAAATATTGGGTTTGTTTTATTTTTTCTTCTGGTTAGACCAATGATGATACACATCAAACAAACAGATCCAGTGCAGAAGACTCCTATATACATGTTGGGAGTCTCCATGCTTGCTTCAAGCAGGCCAGAGAGGAACAAACATTTCAGATTTAATGATAAAACAGATAGAGAACCATCTCAATACAAAGGAGCTGCAGATTGGATGGAATAATAGTGCAAAGCTTTGTTTAAGCCTGCCTGAAAGATGGCTGGGATGAATGCCATTATCCTCTCCCACTTTTGTGGTAACCAAAGAGAATTTCAATCTTACAGGCAGTGCTTTCTGTAATGCAGTAAGGCCAGAGACTGTATATGGAGCAGGAACATCATAAGCTCACTGCTTTAAAAAACAAACAGAAAAAACCCAACAGTTTGATAAGCAGTGAGACTTCCCCAAGGCTACAGTCTTTCTAAGTTATGTGATGTAGGTAAGTTCCCCATTCACATTTGACCAGCAGTATTCATCTCTGATCAGGACGTATAGTAGGTCATGCCATTTAATAACATCTAGAGACAGGGAAAATAATTAGTTATATGCCTCATGCAAGACTAACATAAGAACAAGAAGGTAACTGAACTACACAAAATACTGGAATACACGCAGCACCAGGTTAAGAATTGCCAAGTGAAAGCAGTGTCTCTAAGCAAAGAGAAGCGGAAACTGAAATGAAAGTCTCAGAAACAGACCTCAACATGGGAACAGAAAACACGAGCAGAAGCACACAGCACAGGGGGGAACTTAATGAAAAGGAAAAAAACAAAACAACAAAAAAAACGGTCATCCACTGAAGAAGTCTGATGGCTCTAAGAAGTTGAGCTTTGAGAACAATGCCATAGAAAATCTGTACCTGCAGTTACCACAGCACTTCACTCAGGGCTCAGAGACAGGCGAAGCTGACACACTCAGAAAAGCTTAGTCACAACTTTGACACTTGTGGTACCCCGTGCCTAATACACTGTCAAGGTTTTCTACTAGAAGAGTAGAGAACAAATATTTTATTGGAAAGTCAAGAAAATTGCAAGAGAGTTGCAAAAACACTTTGTCTCATCTTAGCAGTAAGACATGCAGTGTTACATATCCCAGCTTAAGTGGCAAGTGCAAAGTGAAAGTCTAGAGTTTCTTTAGTTAACCAATTCAAGTATAGGAAAAATCCATCCATTCATTAGTAGGTCACAAAAGAACTAACCACAGCAAGGGGAACCCCAAATATATGAGTAACAGTTAAAAAAGAAAGAAAGAAAGAAAAGCAAGACAAGAGAAGCCATAAATTTCCTACTCTGAGACAAAAGGCTGACTTCATTCAGCACAAACCACTTCTGATCTCACCAGAAAAGCAAATGGAAGAACTTTAAAGTTGAAGGATACAACAGTAAAAATGAGCAGAGACTGATCACAGTAGTGATCTGAGGCAATTAAAGTTGTATTTAAACTATTCTCTAACAGAGATGACTAGCTAAAATACCCTCCTCAGCTGCTATGCCCCAGAACACCTCCCAACAATAAAAGCAATCTGTATTGACAAAAGTTGTTTGGGAAACTAACTTAGTGCACCCGAAAGGGGAGAGTGCACCTCAAGGGCATGGCAGCACTCCTGGTAGTTTTAAGTGACCTAACAGTTTTTGTTCAAGTTTAAATCTACATCCGGCACTATGTAGATGATACCAGATAGTCAAGCTCAAACTCACAAAGTTGATTCAAAGCAAGCAAAACTTGTTCTGCACTGTAAACTAAAAACTCTGACAGTCTGCATTAGCAAAATGTAGACCAGTTTCTTCAACAGTCCTTCAAACTTTGTTGCTTTCCCTTACAACTGTCTTTTCTTTCAAGGCCATCTGTCCTCTGTCTGCTTAAGCAGCCTGGGTACCTAGCAGCAGCATCTCCACAACTTTATTTATGTTGAGGGTCATACTACACAACCACTCAATCAGCAGTTAAACTTCAGGACTGGTACAGGTTCATTCTAAAAAGACGCAGTTTGAAAGCGGAAAGGTTGCTTTATCCTTTTTCTGTGTGTTGTGATCATTTCCCCATTGACTGTGCAATTTAGGTCAAGAGTAACCTTTCAAAGATCCTTCTATAGCATACCCACTTCACCATCAAGAGATAAAGAGATTACTATTTGTGAAACTTATGAAAGAAGAGAAGTCTCCCAAGTGTCCATGAGTATTATTTTAGACATGAAGGGTTGAGAATGCACAGACTGGGGCTACTTAAGCAAACCTTCTATCCAGATCTGAACCAGGCTTTCCTGAAGGTTGCTGAGATTCCACATACACAATGTTTCCTGTACTAGTGGTAAACCCTGTTACCTGTGGCCAGCCTGACAGAGGTGGATCACACTGCTTGACAGCAGATTTTAAAGGTAAACTACTACCGCAGTCTGCCGAATAACCAGAGAGCCTCACTCCAGACACGCAGTATTTTAGGAAGGTACCTTAATGTACTCTGCAAGCCATATGGAAGAACAACTTAGTGCAGCACTGATCCATCACTGCCACTTCCAAGGCCCATCAGACCAACTGCAGCAGCAACAGAACCAGCTTTCCCAATAAAAGCCCCTCAGAACTTGCGTCCACCCAGTAACATCTTCAAATTAAAGGATTACCCAAACAATTCTTCACGCATAGACTGACAACCTGGGGAGACAAGGCAATGCTTAGTATATCCTAGACTCTACAACGCTGTAGGTGAAGGTGTAAGCACCAAATCAGAGAATACATAAGCCACCAGCATTTCAGATAAGTGATGACTTGCAGGATTTCCCACATGCTGCTCCCCAGTCTGTAGGTGAACTACCATCTCTAGTCTCAGTACTTGCTACTCCAGTTTGGCCAGATGTCAGGGACTGTCCCAGCTCCTGCTTTGCTTCTCAATTTATGATCCCAAAGAAAGCAGCGACGGTTGTGATTCACTTAATGGAAGAGAATAGTGAGCAGATACTGCTGTCAAGTTTCACAGCAGAAAAAAAGAAGCACAAAACCTCACCAGTGAAAGAGCTGGCATTTGCATTGAGACTGTGTTCTTTGTACATCAGACAGTGAGCTTCCAAGAGTCTAGTTCTGTGCAGAACAACCAACGTGTAACCCCCAGAACACCACCTGCTCTGTGATCCACCTTCTGGATACGCTGTTGAAGTATTCCATAGCTGTTACCAACTGCAATTTAATGTCTCCTGCTTCGTTCAACAAAGAAGAAAGCTAGCATTTGTATTGCCTTAAAGACAATCATTTTCTGTTTTCCACCTCCCAGTTCATTTATGTTTTCTAACCTTCTCCCTTTCCAACTGCTGCTCACACTACTGCTAAGAGACCCTCAGCATACATCTCAGCAGACACTAGTTGAGGATGCTCCAGCACAGAACAGCAACACATTCCAACTTCTCACAGCTTCGCGTGGCCAAAATAGGATCTGGGCTTCTATCATTGCTATGCTTGTGGTTGATCGCGTTGGACTCGAGCCAGTCTCCTGTCTCTAGAGAGACTCCGCATTCTCAGAAGAAACTAACAAAGCAGATTTTTCCCAATACGTTCCGGAGTCTCCTATGACTCCCGCAGTGAGGGCGAGCCGCCGGACCCACCCGTTTCGTCCAGCCCGCCTTCCTGGCCGCCTCCCCGCTCCAGCCCGAGCACCCATCCCCGCCCGGAGCCCCCGCGGTGCTCGGAGCTCCGGGGACAGCGGAGCCTCTCCCAGCCACGCGGCCGGCGAACAAAGGAGCCCTGCCTCCGCCCGAGTCCGCCGCCCGGCCAGGAGCGCAGCCAGAAGAGGCTTTTTGAGCTTCACAGGCTGGCAGAGTGAAATGCACTTTCTGAACGCGTTCACCATCTCTCGCTTACGCTTAAAGCATCTTCTCGAGGCTTCTTCCGATTTTCTCAAGATTTCTTCTGCAGATCCCCCCAGAAGCGTGAGGAATGCTGCTGCCGCGTAGCTCTGGCACACACTTGGGGCGCTGCCGAGGCCGGGCGGGCAGGGCTGTCCCAGCGCCCGCGGCCCCGTGTTGCAACGCGGAGCAGAGCGGAGGAACTCCCAGCCGGATCTACGAGTTTCTTGGGTGGGAGCGGTTGGGAGGGAAAAAGGGGAAAAAAAGAAAATCTACGGAAAAAGGGGGAAAAAAACCCAAAGCAAAACAACTTTTCCAGAAGCAATAATGAATTGGAGAAAAAAAAAAAAACAGAAAGCTAGAGGGACTCCTGGGACGAGAGGGAGCTGCTCCGCTTTGAATGGGCCGCGCTGTCGCACCGCTCGGAGCCTGCGGGCGTCCCCCTGCGGCTCAGGGGGAGAAGAAAGCCCTGCGAGGACCGCTGCCGCCTTCCGAGTTTTCTGCTTTGTTTTAATACACAGCCGACAGCCACGCAGTGATCAGAGATTGAGGGGGAAAATGCTACAACGCTACACGAAAAAGGTATTAGAAATTCGCTGAAATGTGAGATTTCAGCACGATGTAGACACAGCCCTTCTTTAAGGGGTAAGCAAGGCAACGGGGCACGGCCAAAATCTTTTAAACAAAGCAGCTGGAAAACTTGTTTGCCTGGAGTGTGGAACCGCAGTTCCAGAGCTGCAGAGAAGCGAGACAGCCCCCTCGAGCAGCCCGGCTCCCGCAGCCCCTCACAGAAGGCAGAAAACGAGAAAAGCGATAGGAAAACAGCACCTCGTCGCGAATTTTAATTACCCGACTCGTCACCTTACAAATAGGCGAAACGAAAAAAAAAAAAACAAAAACAACCAAACCGAACCAACCAATAAGCCCAGAAATGAGGAGGGAAAGGAGCCCCGCCCGGATTTCGTTGTCTCACCACCAAAAGTGCAGCTGCCTTCTGTTCTTTCCTTCCTTGGGGAAGAGGAATCGCCCGGCCCGCTCTCGGGCTGCCTCATTCACTCGCAGGATATGGGATCCCACGGCCCGGGAGCCAATGGGCTCCTCCTCCTCCCCCCGCGCCGAGCCCCGCAGCTCCCGCCCGGCGCCTCCCGCCGCTTATAAACACCGCGTGCCGAGGGATGCGGGGTTCGGTTCCTTTTCCTTTCCGCGTGTCCGCTGCGAGGTGTCTGGCAAAGGTATTCTAAGTGCTAAAAAGTTCCTTCTGTCTCACGGGTTCCATTGGGAGTCACGGTGAAAAGTTTAGCCTGCTGCTGCTGCGAGACCATGAGGCACTGTGTAATGCTCGCTGTTGGCTGGTTAGTTCGTAGGGCACAGAGCAAGCGTTATTCCTCGCTTTTGCTGGAAAACCTTCAGGGCAGGACGGGTTTTAGCTTCTCCCCCCACCTTTACCACGACCGCTGGTGATTTATTTGTCATCGTCCAAAGGAGGGTGCCCTGCTCTAAACTCTTCTCAGGTTTTAAGAGGCCGAAAAGTTCCTTTTCACTGAAGTGCTTCAGTCAGTCCCACAGCTGAGGTGTGAGTGCTTACCTCAGGAAGCTGCGTGGGAGGAGCGTGCCTTCTGTGAAGTCCTTTGCAAACCCTCTGTACGGAGGAAAAACTACCTCTAAAACAAGCTTATTCAATGTAAATTGAGAAACTGCTCTGTTTTAGGAGATGATTCTCAGTGAGCATAAATGTTGCACACAAGCTCACCATGTAGCTTCTGTTTTCGGATTTGACTGTGACTGATTTAAATAATACCTGACCTTATCACTGAGTTCCCAGAAATTTAACTGCTGTGTATCATGAGCATTAGTGTGTGTTTGTCAGCATACAACCGTAAATCTGACAGCGTCTTTGTGGGGTGAGGAACTGTTTTATTTTTACACATGGGACAGACAATAGGAGGCAGGAATACTGTTGTCAAGGGCACCCAACAAAAGCAGAAAGGGTAAAAAAGCAGAGCCTTTTTTTCCAGTCCCACGAAGGATGTGTTGCTTTTTAATACAAGTTTTGTTTGGGGAAGCTTCAGGCCTGAGGAGCTTCCCACTTGACCTTTCCTTTCTCCTGGGCTGTGCCTCTGCGTGACCAAACACTTCGTAGCCCTTTGCAGATTTCTCTTCATCTGTTGGATTCTGCTCTGAGACAAAATGAACATTGTTGCAATTGATGGTTTGCCCTGGCAGGGAGGGTTTGTAGATCATTGTATAAATTTGGCGTGCTGTCTGAGCAGTGTTTGAATAACAGTGCAAATAGCCTTAAAAACAAAACATCATTCACTTTTTTTTACCAGAACAGTAGTTGCTAATTTTTCTCCAGTTCATAAACATTACTTCATAGGTTTATCCCTCATTATTCTCTTTAAATGTCATCCTTCTCACACATTCAGCGATGAAACAGTCCCTTTCCAAATGAGATGAGAGATGTTTAAGAACCTCTAAGTTATCGATTCTTTGGCTGGTGTTACCAGTTTTTCCTGTTTTCATTTTCGGCTGAATTTGGTAAACCAGAGGGGAAAAATAAAAAAGCACTGGATTCTTTCTTCCACAATTAATAATTAAAAACAAACATGATTCACATGTTCTTCAACAAATACAAACGCTCCGTTTTAGTTTAACTTTTTTGATATGCAGGAGGTCAGGTTGCCAAACTAACTCAGCTCAGATTTTTCCACAGTCAAATGTTCCAAAGATGTTTAAAAATCAAAGCCCAAACATTTCTGTATTGTCAGTTCTCACTGTTTTCAGAGAACACAGCTTCAAGGAATCACATTTTTACAATTGGAAAAGTAGAGATATAACTTCTAAGTTGTGTGTATAGGGAAGTATGATTCAAATGTAGTGCAAGCTTGGTAGAATGAGGTCTATAGCAAGCAAAGTCAGGTATTTAAAGTAAAGAACAAAAGAGAATGTTTCCAGTAAGCACCATACATGGACTTTGTTTGCCATGACTGAGTTTGTCTTAAAATTATGTCCACTTTTCTCTTGGAAAGTGACATCCACTCAAAGGATTTTATTTGTGCCCACTATTTTCCCATCTTGGTTTTTGCTGAATTTTCAGTTCAGAAGATGTCTTTCTGTCAGTGAAATGAGCAGACTGCAGCCTGCTTCTGGCCTGAAATTACAGTGGGGGTGTGAGTTTCATTTTCTAGTAATACTAACAAAAATGTACTTGCATTCTCTCCTGCTTATTCCTATTTTGTCACATTACCTCACTAACAGGCAGCTTGACCTCTCCCCTTTCTCCTATAATGTTGTTAAGGGAGTTTTTTTTTTTTAAGAACATCACCCTTAATTACAAATTAAATCTTTAACATCCCACCCTCACCATATCTTGTTCATATTGGCCTCATCCCTTAAAGAGATGCATAACAGGATGTGTATTTGAACAGCTGAAGTAGGGAAGAGCTATCAAACGTTAGTCTAAAAACCACTTCACAGATATTTCTCTCCAGCAAGTACCTACCTTGTTTGTTAACTGCTTTAATGCACTGCTACCAGCTCCAGTCTTCATGAGTGTTTAGAGTGCAAAGGGCTTTACTGCTTTACCAGAAGAGAATTTTAGACTGAACAGTTCCTTGTATGTATATCAGCTCTAGTTGAGACTTCAGCCTCTATTTCAGCATTTATAGTGAGTTGATAAGACTTAAAGAAACACAGATGTTAGTGGGCTTGTAGGAGATTTCTGCAGATCTGTGTTGCTCTGCTGTTAGTGTTTCCTGCTGTTGGTTTGAACAATATACTTTTAACTCTTTCCCAGTGAGCGATGAAGATGGGAAGAATTCCCTCCGACCATTCTTGTCTAGAAAATACAAATGAACACAGGAGCCTGCTTACATGTTAAGTTTTAGCAGGAGATTGGGATCGAGGCTCCTACTCAGTGGTTCTGTGCAGGGTCGTTGTGATACATGCCTCAGGTCCAGCTGCTGCCACCTTTGTCCTGTAGACCCGTTCCACGGGATGGATTAGTATGTCCACAGTGCAGCTGTGTGTCCTGCTGTGTTATCTAGTGAAGTCCGGTGTACAGTCTGGACCTAAGATTTCGTGGTTGTGTGACTCTGAGCTTAGGCTGTAAGCATGAATAGCATGACATCTGAATTAACTTGGTGAATGACCAGCTGTAGGGTTTGCAGTTTGAGGTAGCGTTTATAGGACTTAAATGAAAAAGAATCAACTTCAACAACCTGGGAGAGCCTCCTCTGTCAGGTGTATATGGGGCAGCTCAGACATGCAAAATAGTATCCAAGCACATACACAGTCCAAACTCATTGTTCATCTTCTGACCATACCTATAAGTTGTGCTTTACCTGCATCTGTGGAGTGCGCCAGCAGCCAGCTGTCCAAGCACTTTTGCGAACTCAGACCCTGCAGTATGCAACCTGTGGGCCTCTGCCTTAAAGTGCTTGTACCTCAAATGACAGTTTTTCCAACTGCAGATTTGAACATGATTCAAATTTGAGATTTCTTTAAATTCCGTGTTTCATAATATCTGGGTCAGGCACTCTCATAGTGTTATTGATCTAAAAAGGACTGGGGAGCTTCGTTAATCAGTGTGCGTGACTTCGTACATGGAAATGGCTAATTGTGTCATGGAATCGTTGGGTTGCATTGGTAGAACAAGACAGTGCTTCTGCCCCAAGTAAAGAATTAGAAGCTATTTTCAGAATGAGAATACTGTGCCAGAGTCCTATTCTAAACCAGCAATAGCAAAGTTGGATGGCCATTAGGTCTGGGAATTGCTAAATTTAGGAGTGGACTGATGTAAAAGATAGCAATAGCTCAGGGAATGCTGCTAAAAGCTTTGGTGTTCAAGTGCTTGCTGTAGTCTTTAGAGCTGCATATGGCAGAAAAAAGGAAGTAAGATTTTACTGATGTGGAACCTCTACAAGAGTCAGAGATGAATGTGTTTCCTCTTTCATATGGGATGAGTAAGATCCATTGCAAAGATCCCATAGTGTCTAAGTGCATGATGTAACACATTTCACAGTATCATATATTCTAACTAAGGAGATCTTGGTAAGTGACTGTGACACGTTAACCGTAGAACCCCAACAGCATTTCTTCTCGGTCTAATTTCTAGACTCATGAAAATTTCCAGCTGGTAGAGGGGAGGAGCTTGGAACTTCAATTTTAAAAGAGAAAAGAGGTGCTTTTGACTTTCTTGTTAGGCACAGCAGACTGTGTTCTAAAACCAGACTTAATGAAAGAGGAGTCAGTGGGAGAAATTTCAAGAAGCCACTAGCCATTGCTTGTCCACCATTATCTCTTGCAACTTTCACAAAATCTTTGTTTTCAGAGAAGCTTCCCTGTCAGGCAGATTGGCTCCAACACTTAAACTCTAATTACTGCCTAACGGGTTGGGAAGATCTTTGAAGTGAAGTGTGTGCTGCCATGTAGGGAGATCTTGCTGCTGATAGAAATGTCTGTAGAACAGCAAGAGGAGACACATTCCTTGCACAGATCCAACTATTTCTGAGAACTGGGAAAATTATTATGAACAGGAGGAAAAAATATCTTCTTGTTACAATACAGGAGCTTACTTACAGGGGCATGTTCTGCAGGCATTCTGAAGTCCTCACATCCTTGCTCTTGAATCTGGAAGGCAGAGAAAAGCTGGAATAATCAGTCTCAACATTCACATGCTTTCTTACAAAATTTGCACTTAAACAATTATCAAAGAAAGATAAGCAACCACTTCTGCTATTACCTCCCATACTCGCTTGCTATTGGATTCTAAGGTTATTTTAATACTCTTCAGAAATTCCAGGAATTCCTCAACTTGTTTTCTGTGCAGTTACTCTGCTGCCAGCAGGCTCCCGGAATGCAGCTGGCCACATGCTCGTACTGATGCTGGGTTTGTTTCAGGCACATGGGGAGACTGGGATCACAGGTAGCTTCTGCTTTGCCCCATGTCACAGCAGTCCGCATCATCTGCTGGCTGGCTGCTTGCTATGCCTATCCAGGACTCTGGGAGAATTGAAGATACAGTCCTCCATCCCAGATCCATCTCAGGGCTTGTACTTAACTGCTGCTTTGTGGTGGCCAAGGGCTGCATGGGTCTTGTCTGAAGAAGTGCCATGGATTGATTTTTACACAGCTCTAGTTCTAGCAGCAACATGGGTTTATTAAAACTTTTACTGCAGATTACAGTGCTAGATTATATGATTTTTAGCAGCTCTTCATCAGCACTTATAATTAGCCTGTTTAACACAGTGATTCAGTGGAGTTAGCAGCGACTTAGTTTGAGGTTCAAGAGTGGCAAGGCTCACTCTTCCTGGGAGAGGAGGTTTCTGAACTCAGTTGCACACCTCTCATGGGAACAATTACCTGGAGGCAGAGTTGTTTTTAAATTCTCCAGACAAATCTGCCAAAGCACACCAATCTATCCCTGCATGTTCACATCAGTTCTAAGGAATTGAATTTAAACCGATCTGAAGTTAACAGAACACAGCTCCTGTATATCAGCAGGCTCAGAAAGGAGCATTCATGCTGAGCACTTCACATTGTCATTTATGGTAGCACAAAGCATATGTCATGTTGCCTAATCACAGTGATGATGACTTGCACACACACTACACTGATCTAAATAACTGCCTGGTTTGCAGAACAGCAGCAGATAGCACTGTGTAGCTGGTGATGCAATGAAGCAGGGATTTACTGGGTGCACTGTTCAGTAAATCACTGCTGACTTTGCTTCCTGCACTTAACGAGTTGCTCATTAACTGAGAGTATAAAAACCGAGTTTCGAAGATTTGTGACACATTTATTTTTGAAAATTCACATGTATTTTTCATACAACAGGCTTCTTCTTTCCTCCTATGGGCCTACACAGGAATTGTTTTATATAGTATCACCTGTCTGTCAAGCAGATTCTCTGCAAACTCTCTAATGTTCCTGTGTATGCCGATCATTTGATACACTCTTGCTGGTCTTTCTCCATCACCTCTCGTTTGAAGGCACTGATGTTTCATTTGCATTTCTAGTTATTGCAGACCTGTCTTCATATTCTGTTCCCTGGCCAATGGGCAATCTTTCCTGGATGGCAGCTGACTTGAGTTAAAGCTGAATAATGTGGCAGCAAACATGCTTTTGTTGGTTAAAATGCATATGTTCAGTTGGTCCATGCTGATTCCCACTACTGCTGCCAGGCCAGAATTACAGTGTGGGTAGAAGACACTGAGAGCTCATAACTCTCTAGCAGCTCTTCCCAGTGTGGCATGCTCTTATCACCATTGCAGTTGTACTCAGCCTCAGTTCTTACCGCAAACACTGAAGTGGTGGAGTACTTTGAGATTTCTCACGTAGGCAAGATCTAGGAGCTCTGATGAACCAAGCCTCCCATTCTTCCACAGGAAAAACGCAGAAGAATGGCAGTCCTGGATGAATCTGTTTACGTATCTTTACCATTGCTTTATCTTGGATATTGGTCATTAACAGCTGCTTAGGAAAAATTAACAAACAGGGTAAATACTGGGTATCATCCTTCCATTTCATGCAGCCTACAATTGTGAGACTGTAAAGCAGCCCTTTCAACCACTTTCTCTATGTGAATCCATCCCACAGTTCTCCAAATCAGTTTGAAAGTCTTCCAACAGGCAATGTCTCTCCTTCCTCTAAGTCATCATTCAGTTCGTCAAGCTGAGTTCAAGAGGCGGGTAGACCAGAGTAGTACATGGCAGTTGCCAGGAGCTGATTCCCTATTGCTGCTGGTTGGAGTGAGGCAGCTGCCGCTGCTCTGATTCCTGCCTCTGCCCCAGCTTACTGCCATAGAGAAAACAGGACGGAAAAAGGATGTGCTTGCTTCTCAGCTATGGCAAATCACAATTTAGGTACTGCCAAAAAGATTAACTAAATTGGAATACATGTTCCAGCTGCTCCCATAAGCTCCATTTTAGCTGTTCAGGATTCTTCTATATTTCATTCTTAATTTTCAGGTAATAAAGGCATAGTTTATTTCTCCCAAATGGCACAGAATACAGATTCTTGAAGACATTAGAAATCAGGGTGTATTCAAGACATTTACCAAGATCTTATATCTCTCTGTCCAGGAGGTCTGTGGGCACAGAATTTAAGTCTGGCACAGTGCTGTGTCCTGTTCCAGAGAGATTTTGCAGGATGGCATTTGCATAGCATTGCATCTCAGACTGAAATATAAACGCACATAGGAACTAGTAATCTTCATCAAATCCATCACCTCCATTCCAAGTGCAACGTGCACTGCTCTGGTCTGCCCTTTTCATAAATTCAAGACTGTCTGTAAAATCAACCACATTCATTTTAATAACAATACTAATTCCTCGTTTACCTAAATGGCTTTCCAAAGTGTTGCAGAACAACTGTTGAGCAGTTCTGCTGAGATATCACAACCACTGAGGCTCTCTTAATCTAGCAGCTGGCCCTTCAGTGGTGAACATGAATTCTCAGTATAAATGGTTCCCATGAAGCTTCCTTGAACCTGCTTCTGTACTTTATTTTTTGGTTGCATCTATTTGAATGTTTTGTGGTTCATGACTGTCTTTTTGCTTTTGTTAAGACAGTCCTTTTCCAAGTGTCACAGTTTACCACTCTGTGA